AAGTCATCTTTACCATTTCATTTTCTTTATTTTCATCGATTTTAAATATTTACATAACTTTCAGTATGGCTAAATATCTTAGTTTACACGCTGTGGCGCTGCATAAATATCTAATGAAAATCACATTATTCAAGCCCCTACTCCTAACACATAACTTAACCGGTCTTGATTGAATTAATACAGAATTTTAAACAATATTGGGAATTCTAAGGTATTGATTGTAATGGAAGTATTGTTCAGATTATAAATATACTATGTTGGTATATTTGGCGCTAGACTTTGAAGAATCAGAAATCAATATCGGTTGGAAAGATAATGGAAACCTAATGTGTACAAATTGAAAATAGATTATTATATAAAGAGTTATTAGAAACACGTTTACATATTCTAAAACACAGTATGAATTTTGGTAACTAACATTCTAAAATGAGAATAGTAAATTTAACGTTATCGTTTCCTTTTTTGTCTTCTTAAATGAGTAAAGTTGTAAAATTCAAGTCGAAATATTAATTAGAAAGGAAATTATTGAGAAATCAAAACACATTTCATTTGGAAATTACCTAAAACAACCCCCTGTCTTAATCCTTAGTTTTATATAAACAATCTTTAAGTGACGATTGAATTTCTGTCATTTTTCATTTTGTTACAGATGCTTGTCTAATTTTAACATGTTTTCAAAAAAAGAAATGGTATTATTTTGTTTTTTTAAGCTCATTTTGAAAAAAAGCAAACTATATTTGTGATTTACCCTACCCCTTTTGGTACTCCTAAAATCCCACTTTCGGTCAACGTTTTACCTTTGTTTTCATACAATACAATAGGACATCCTTGAACAAAATAAGGAGGTGAAAATCCGAATATACCGGGGCCAAAAAAGGGCCTTATAAACACTCATCCTTTACCAGTATTCCTCCAAGTTTTAAAATGACTTTACTTAAGAAACGATATACCTCCCTGTTTCAGTTTCAACAGCAGTTTAGACCAGCTGGGAGTTCACCTGTTGGCCTCAAGTATCAACGATTAGCTCTAGAAGGACAAAGCAGCTGTATGGTGCAGCGTAAATCGGTTTTAGAATATGTTTCTGTATCAATAACCAAATGATAAAGGTACCCTCACATGTTTGTGTACTACGTTCATCTTTCAGGATTGTACATTCTGCTGTCCGATTTTAGAGTCATTTAGGTTTAAATATAAACTTTATTTATTTTACAACAATTATGAAACCAGTTATTCAACTTGTATAAATCACTCTTGATGGTCGGGATGTTAGCGCGGGGGTATTGTTGTAGGAGGAAACCGGGGTACCCGGAAAACCCCACCGAGGTCGGGCAGGTGACCCCATACCTTTTTCACGTCCGATCGGGGAATCAAACCCCGGCCGCCTTTGTGAAAGGCAAGTGTGCTATCCACTGTACCACCCGACCACTCTTTAGAGACTTGATGGTAACATTTATCTCTGCTGTCGTGACACAGTTCATAATGTTCCCATTTTTAACTTGCTATCAAGCAGCACTCCTTTATTCCTTTAAATACATACATTTAATGGGTTTATGTACCTTCCTTGCCGTTTCAAAAGTAGTTCAGACCAATTTTTATATCACCCGTTTTGTCCCTATAAGTACAGTTAATTTCTGGAAGGACTGGACTGATATATGGTGCAGTGTATAAGTATCATGACATCACATGGTCAACAAATAAGTATCATAACATCACATGGTCAACACATAAGTATTATAACATCGCATGGTCAACACATAAGTATTATAACATCGCATGGTCAACACATACGTATTATAACATCACATGGTCAACACACAAGTGTTCAAACGTAACATGGTCAACACATACGTATTATAACATCACATGGTCAACAAATAAGTATTATAACATCACATGGTCAACACATAAGTATTATAATATCACATGGTCAACACATAAGTGTTCAAACGTAACATGGTCAACACATACGTATTATAACATCACATGGTCAACACATAAGTATTATAACATCACATGGTCAACACATAAGTATTATGATATCGCATGGTCAACACATAAGTATTACAACATAGCAAGTAGATTAAAAAGAGTTTTCGTTAAAAATAATAAACAGTGATCAGACAGGTTTTATAACGGGGAGATATATCGGTGAAAATACAAGGTTAGTTTATGATACCATGCAGTATGCAGAAGAAAATGATGTTCCAGGTTTGCTTTTAATAATTGATTTTGAAAAGGCCTTTGACTCGGTTACTAGGGAATATATTAACAAAATGTCGACCTTTTTTAATTTTGGAGTTGATTCGCGTAAATGGATTAAAATCTTACATGCGAATACTATCTCTTCTATCAATCAGTGTGGAAATCTATCAACAATTTTTAATATAAAAAGAGGTTGACGTCAAGGCGATCCAATTGCCGCTTACATATTCATTTTATGTGTTGAAATATTAGCACTAAGGTTAAGGAACAATATTAATATTAAAGGAATTAATATAGAAAATATCCCTACACTAATATCTCAACATGCATCAATTATTTAAGATGGTTCTAAAAGTTCTTCTAAAGAGTCATTTATGGAATTAAAGACTTTTGCAAAAATGTCTGGGCTAAAGGTAAATAAAAGCAAAACTCAAGTAATATGGTAGTAAATAATATAGAAGAGTCACATACTTTCCAGAATGGGATCTACAGTGGGCAGTTACAAGATTCACATTTTTAGGCATTGAATTTAATGTGGATTTGCATCAAATTCCTAAACTGAATTACGACAAAAAAATAGAAAATATAAAGTCATTAATTAAGATATGGAGAAGAAGGATTTTGACACCCATAGGAAGTATCCATATAATTAAGTCCCTCCTCATATCTCAGTTTCATCATCTTTTTATAACTTTGCCAAATCCTGATGATACATATATTAAGAAACTAAATACAGAAATATATAATTTCCTATGGAACAGTTCATCAGACAGAATAAAAAGAAATGTAATTATTAAGAACTATAATGAAGGGGGCCTGAAAATGATACAGTTACATTCTTTAAATGAATCTTTAAAGCTTATATGGATTCGACGGCTGTTTAAAAGGAAATGGCAATCAATTTTTGAAACCTTTGGAAACACAGATATTTTTGATAATTGTGGTACAGATTCTATTTTTAAATGCCAAAACTTTTGTAAAAGCTAATTTCGGAAAGATGTTCTATTTAGTTGGAATATGCTTTCCAAGAAAACAGAATGTTTTGTGAATAAGAAAAATAATGCTCTCAAAACTCCCATTAGGTACAATAGTTTAGTGACAATAGAAAATGAAATATTTTTTTACAGGGATTGGTATAGGAAAGGGGTAATAATAATTAATGATGTAGTTAAAGAAAATAGCAACGGAATTTTTAACAGGTATCTAGAATTCATAGAAAAATTTAATATTCGTACTAACTTCCTTTTTTATCACGTTGTCATAAACGCAATAACAAAGAACTATTCTAAAGAAGACATTTCTGCTGAAACTATAAAACGGCCATTCATACCTACCAACTTAGAATGTTTTATCAAACACAAAAAGGGAGTAAAAGATTTGTATAACTGTTTGTGTCAAAATAACATAACATCTACTAGAAAAAAGGAAATGGAAAGCATTGTTTGATTTTGATGAACAAATATGGAGGAAAATATACTTAACACCATTCAAAATTTGTAAAAATACAAAAATACAATGGCTCCAAATGAGAATAAATCAATATATTCTAACTACAAATTCATAACTTTATAAAATAGGCCTAGTCGATAGTCCATTCTGCAGTCGTTGTAATACTGAGAATGAAACGATAGTTTATGTATTATGGGAATGTGAAAAAGTACAGTTGTTTATGACAAATTTTTGTTAGATTTGTTATTCATATCCTTTACTTTCAACAAAGAGTCGTTTATCTTTGGATTTTATGAGGGACAAAACAATGTTGAGATGTGCAAATTCCATGTTTGTCCTCAGAATAGACATGTTTTGCCTGGTGATCACTTCTTATATTGTAACTGATATATTAACTTGGTAAACTTTTTGAATATGTTAGGAAGTTGTGTTTTTCTGTAAGAGTTATTGCCCTTTGTTATCGTTGTTTCAGTCTTGGTTGAATTTGCTCTCAACACAACTTGGTATGTCCTGCTATTATGACTTGTAGTCTCTTAAGTAGCATTGTTCCTTATTATTATAGATATTTTTATACATTTTTTTATTCAAGAATCTATGTCTAGAATGCGGTGTACTTTGCCTTAACATGGTTCAGAATCATATACTATGATTCAATCTCAAGTTGGGTGAATCTTGGTATGATTTACATTATCAATGCCGTATTTTCATATCCTCTTTAGTGATATCTATATTCAACAAATGTTAACAATATATATGCGTATGGAAATATAGTTGATAAAAAAACTGGTCAAAGTCCCTGGCAATATTAATATTGATATAATATTATAATAAAAATAACAATAATGAGAGACTTTACTCATGAACGAGTAATTTCTTTTAATGAATGCATCAAAGTCCTTTGTCATGTCAGCATGTAGTCCTTCTCCCTCTTATTCAAGTTCTTTTTCTTTATGTTGATTCTATTCTTCCTTTAATTCTTCTATTTTTGATGTAATTATTTGATATTCTATTGTATTGTAATATTGTACATACATATGTATGTTACCTGTTGTTGTTTTTTGACTGCATTGTTATGTTATTTACATGTACATATGTAGATGACCTTTTGGAAGATAGGTACAATCCTAAAAAGTGACCCCCTTTAAATAAAGTTATTATTATTTTGTTTATTATTATTACAACAGAAGTCGATTTCCATAAATTAGAATACGATTACACTGCTCTTCTATTAATTTGAACCCCGGATCTTTTTTGTCCTATCATCGGGCGGGTATTGCCACGTTTCTTCTCCAAAGAATCCCACGATTCTTGTTTAAAGTCTTCGATGAAAATATAACTCGAATCATATGTTTGATATGCATGGTTTATTATAATACAAGTAACAATCAAAAAGGAAATAGATAGATAAAAAATCCTGTGCGCAAGACATCTTTGGCTGAATGACCCCTGTAATAAAGAAAAGAAATAGGATCAAGTACATTCTTTAGAAACAAGGCAGTAACGGGATAAACGATTTAAGATTTAACTTATTCAAACACAAAATATTGAATGTACACCAGTTTTAATATTAAATGTGTAGATGGTATCACAGAGATACGGGATGCTACTAGGAATATATTAAGCTGTGTATATTTTAAATACATCATACATTTTATGTTTAAAACAAGTTAACAGTTCTATTGGAATCATTTAGGCATTTGATCATTTGTAAGTTAATCCGTTATTTTTTTTTATTTCTGGAAGAAACAGGATAACTTTTGTGTTGCGTATCTGTTGTTAGAAGCTTGTTGTATATGAAAATAGGCTGGTTTATAAAATAGGAAATCATCGGTTTTGTTTTTCCAATCAGGACAATTTCAGATTCATTAGAGATTATGTGAGATGATTAACATGATATCCTCTTTCTTGTAATTTTAACATCTTCACGTGATACATGTGATTGTCAATGTAAATATTTATTGTAAATCTTCTAGCTGGTTCGATATATCATGCCAATAGTATACACAGACGGTACTCAACGATCACTGAGTATCAATAGGTAGACCATTCGATTAATTCTAATCCAAAATGCATACTAAACACTGCAGAGTAGATCTTATTTACGAACATTTCATGAAAACAAGCGTCTTGCAACGTAGAATTTTTAAAGATATCGTCGATATTTGATGATACAAGTTTCTTCTGAGATACTGTTTTAAACTTTTTTGAGTGATTATATTATTTTGCGACAATAAAATGATACATGTGCATAAAGGGATACAATAAATTATGTCCAAAAAAACAGTATTGGGATACACCTGTAGGTTTGTTTCTAAAGCCTCACCTGTAATGTTAGCAGTGCATTGATGACGTATTTATCCGGTGATTGATCCGGTTATGTTGAAGAGTAGCAGGAAAGCCAAAAAGAACACTGTGAAAAATAAAAATACACGACATAAATATTGGGACAATATTTCAGTCAGATTGTTTATGTCATGGTAAATGTGTTATCAAAATCAGTTAGCATTGAAGTTATTTCAGATGATGTAAAATGAGACACGCCGATATCTTGCAATACCCAGTGTATCTCAATGGATACTCTGTTATATTGATTTTCTGTTTAGAGTGAAAACTGTTCACATTTACTGCTTTTAGTACATCTAATATTTGAACATCACTATGCATACTCTCTTACGTTTACAAATGTATTAACAGGACTAAAGTAAGAAATCATATATTTATACAGGTGTAAGGAAATAGTAGTAATACGAACAGAATACCTTTTATACACGTCTTTGCGCGAGTTGCTCTGATAACTTTGCGTTGATTTATTACTAAATTGCGATTCTAATAATTCTTAAATTGAAAATAAGTATAACTTTTGCGGTGTAAAAAAATAAAAAATAAATATACAAACAAACACTATCACGTGTTACAATTATCAGAGCAATCACATAACAAAATAAAATGTCTACTTACGTCCTCCGACCAGAAGATCATTGCGGTTTTGTTTGTTCTGGTAGGCGTATCCAGCGTAATATCCTCCATATGGAAGCTGGCTTCCGACTCCTCCATATCCCCCGGCTCCCCCGTATCCACCGTATCCGTACTGGGCACTGATGAACCCAATTATACAGGGAATGAGGATGAGGAATAGGGTCTTATTCATTTTGCAGAATTACTCAATGATACTTCAGCAAAATTAATATGAATTTCTCGTTCAACTAGTAGATAGTCTGAAGACTTGAGAAATTGATTTTGATGGTAAGAACTGGCGTATATATACTAATTTGTTGAGACATGTTGCGTTAGGATGGATGGGGTGAATTGTGTAATGTTAAGTGATTGTATAACGGCGATACCCTAGAGTAAAACGTAACGTTACGGTTATCCTCCCTAGGTAATACACTGGCTCTCGTTAACGTATACACATACATTCCTTATCTATTCACTTAATCTGCTTAAGTCATCTTTACCATTTCATTTTCTCAATCGATTTTAAATATTTGCCTAACTTTCATTATTGCTATATATCTTAGTCTACACGATGTGGCGCTGCAGAAAAATCTAATGAAAATCACATTAATCAATTCCTGTTCTTCTTCCAATAAATGAGCTCCTACTCCTAACACATTACTTAACCGGTCTTAAATGAATTAACTTCAGATTTTGTTAGTAATTGTCATACAATATTTTCATATTTAGATCATTTAAAATTTCTTTTATTTCTCCGGGACAATTTTCATATTCGGGTGAAATAGCTAAGAGCTGTAAAACTCGGATAGATACACCTAGGTACAATATTATAAACAATATTGGGAAATGATGACCACGTTTAGCGTTATATTGTAGGATAGACATTGATTTAAAATGTGTAATGTCAATTTCTAAGGTATTGATTGTAATGGAAGTATTGTTTAGATTATAAATATACTATGTTGGTATATTTGGCGCTAGACTTCGAAGAATCAGAAAACAATATCGGTTGGAAAGATAATGTAAACCTAATGTGTATAAATTGAAAATATATTATTATATAGAGGGTTATTAGAAACACGCTAACATAATCTATAATACAGAATGAATTTTGGTAACTAACATTCTAAAAACAACTATAAGAATAGTAAATGTATTGTCTATCGTTTCCTTTGTTGACCATAGAGAAAGATTTTCACCAAAACCATGTAAGATTCCGGAAGGTTATGTTTCCTTGATACCACATTCTTCAATCTCTTCTTCGCTTATTCCACAGACACATTTATTTTACTATAGATATGGGGAAAACTGCAACAAAACAGACAATTGTAATATAGTAAAGCTAATAAAGCTGACGCCACACTTGATAAAGAAAGCCAACATAAAGCAGTTTTATCTCACATTGTTTTTCCTTTTTAAAAGTATTTACTCAGTATTTACGTTGTGATTGACAAAGTAAACCTCGATCAACTTGGTATAAACTGCCAACATTTGTCTTGCACATATCAGAAAAGGGAAAAAAACTAATGAATAATTCACAAATAAACGTAGATATATTTAGTCTTGCAATAACTTTCTATTTTTACCAAGGGATACGATAATACGAAATAAAGATAAATAAAAACAAAGAACTTATTTTGCCCCCAGATGTTTTTTAGGTTATATCATCTTCCTCTGTGGTATAGTGTCCCTTCAGTTTATTTGTTGACGACTTTTGTAGTCCATACCAAGTCCTCTTACGTTAACGATGTAGTGATTCTATGTCGACGTTAAATTCAGATGAAGTTATGTGTTTCTATTTTACTTTAACTCGGATAGTATCAAACCTTAGTCATAGAATGATTTCTGACACAGTGGAACATCTTGATCACTAACATTATAGTAGATTTAAGTATTCGTCTTTGTTATTAATTCTATCTCAACAGAAACTTTATTCCCTTTGACAGATATCTAAAACGTAAACAAACATCAGTTGTGAACGACATACATGTAACCTAATATCAACGTTACTTCACAATAATTGTTCACTTGGCCATTTTGTTTTATGTGAGCAAATTGCTTAAGCGATCAAATTGTTCATGTGACCAAACCTTTCGTGTATCTGAATTGTTCCTGTATCAAAGTGATATGTTTTCCTTTATTCAGTCAGAAGATACAGGTTTAAAATGGCATTTTAATTGTTGTAAGTATACACAATACATCAATGATTGAAAAGGTTAGATCATTGTATACTCGACCTATAATTCCTATCAAATCAGATTATGTAAATTATATAATAATGATGTTGAAAACAAAAATCAGTTTTATGAACTATAAATATTACACTGACCTTCAGGATGTAATTCTATCTAAAGTATGTAATAATTATGAAGATTTTTCTACTATCAGAAAATTAAAGTATGTAAGGTCTGACCAATACATTTAAAAACCTTATCAAATCAACTATTTCCTATGAGGAGAAAAATGTCCCTATCATAACATTCTCATTGTGTATTGCTAACCTGATATGTTATTTCACTGTCTCTATATTGTATGGCAGGGGAGGAATAATTTACATTCTATAGCACTCTCGGAATTCATAATCATTTATCAAATGGTTTTACTAACACATGTGATAGTACACATTATAATTACAAATACCGACTTTTACTGTGTCTTCTTAACCATTTATAGCCTGACAGATTCTATATATTATATCATTGTTTGGCGCGTTTTTAATTGTATGTTATATGTTTGTCACGAAAATAGAAAAGTTGATTTATCTTTTTAATTGTTTATATCATAATTTATTTTGTATACTACATTCGACCGTCTTATTTTTGATACATTCACAGAAAGTATCTGGAAAACTAACAAGAATAATTGTGTAAAGCAATAATTTTCAAAGCTGTACCTGTTTCCCATTCTTTTTGATGCCATGTTTTCTCTGTCAATACATGTTGAACTGATTTTTTTTTTATCATTTGGCAAAGAAACTTTTTCGAAATACCATGGACCATATTTTGCATTAGATATATTTGTATTCACAATTACGTCTTAAAAATATCATTATGGATAAAAATAGTCATAGATACATGTAATAACAATTCAAGCATAGTTAATATAGACGAAAACACACGTTTGTATTTAACATCTCAATTTTGCGTGAACGTGTTTTTTGTTTTGTTTTTTGTTTTGCAGCGAATTCCAATGTTTATAGGGATATAAACATGCTTGTAATATCACCTACTGATTGTGATTATAGAATTGCGGCACGTGTAGTTTAATTTAATATTATAACTTGCAAACAGAAACGGCAAAAACTGTCTACAATTGTATGAAATATTAAGCTTAGGGCATTATCTTTCAAATATCTTTAAAGTTGAAAATGATATTTATGTACCTAACAGCTCTTGGTGAGATGGAAAAAAACAAAAGTAGAAACATTATTTGATCGATTTATCTCTTATTATGGAATCCTTATCAAACTTGAATAAATTATTTAAATCCGTGAAAATATTAAATATTACTGATTATACTATGAACCTGTGGTAAGGTAAGTGTATTTGATAGATATGTACAGTGCCTGAGGCCCTACCATGACCGATTGGCTGATTGATGACTTATGCCTAGTACCCGGTATACCTGTCAATCATTAGTTTCTTTCACCTTTAACTGCTCTCGATGTGTCCATCACATGCCTAATACCCGACAGTATCAATTCCCTAAAACTAAATAGATTGATCATCTTACTAACGGCGTAATAGAATTATGGTGAAGACAAGTTCCGGTTCATCAGAAGTTCAAAATGGCCGCTAAATACTGTCAATGAAAGTTTGCACTTTTATTTTTTTCGTGAAAGCAGAGTTCACAAAATCGGTTCCAATATGTCATAACGCTAATTGCCTTCAAATTAGTTATTTTTAAAGTAACAATAGTAATACGCACATGAATGAAATATCATCGCATATACTGGATAATTAAATGCTGCAATGGAGAGAGTTCGTGATAAAAACAGAAAGTGCAGATGTCTGGTTGCGATGCTAATCCTATTAAATGTAGCATGCATTTTTGACTTTATTTTTAATTTATCTAGATATTTAACGAAAATTAAAAAAAATCGTAAACGACTTATTGAAATTTCTTACACGAACCAAATGATAGAGTATTTTCCTGAACGGCTGATATGTCTGGTCAGTTAACTGGTACGGAATGCCACAGTGCTGTTTTCTGCGTACAAACTAACATTATGTGGCCTATTGTGACGTCATCAACACATAATGAAATGATATTACATATTTCTAAATGATATTATAACGTCACATGAAAATAATATTGTATACTTTTTCACTTTATTTATAATTTTTTTTTCAACATATATGTGTTTGCACCGTTTCGTTAATTATTCAGAAAAACATTCTGTTCCATTTCATTGGAGATTCTTTAAACTCGTAAGAGACTTGCTAAAATGAATCATATTGTCTGTATAAATCTAATTCAAAATCCTTTATCTGTGTAAATTATAACAGTTTAACAGGATACAAAAACGAATGAGACTGGTGGTAAAACGAGAGTTCAAAAGCACGTGTTCACTTTCCCTTTTGTCGTTAATCATTGAGTTCTATTTTTAATTTGTTTCCTTTTGTTGATTGACGCTACTTATTTTCGTTATGTTATTGATTGTATGAGATATATGGTCGGTCAAACGTCTGTGTATAATTCACTGGGGATTCCCCGAACGTATGTTTTTACACAAAATATATCAACACAAATGGCTGTTAGTATAATATCTTCTAGGATATCTATAAATGATAGGATAACCAAAGTCAAACTTGCGTCTTTGTGTTCTACAGTTCCATTCGACTGTAGGTAATGCTCGCTCATACTTTTAACTATTTGTATAAACGCTATGCTGCTGTACCGATTCTACCACATTGCCCATGTCAATCCACCCTAAGTGAATCGGTGACAAAGGTTGAGATTAAGAGGAACCTTAAGACATTCTGTAAAACTTCGATTGATTAATAGTTTTCGTCACTCGTTGAAGTGCTGATCCTTTTTCATGAAAATGTTCTCATGTTCAAGCAGAGACTCTGTGTTAAAACGAACATTCCTGTAATTCGTTAAATCGAAAAATCAAGTGTAAATTTTGAAAATGACATTCGGGTCTCAATCACTACAACATTCTACCAAATCTGAGACTACATGTATTTTTCATACATTTATCGACGTAACAAAAAATGGACCTGAGTTCAGAGTTTTAGCATAAAAACGGTTTCTTAAATACGGGCTCGGAAATAC